AAAAAAAAAAAAACACGGGTTCCATGCAATCAGCAACTGAACCGCATAAATGCATAAGTCGTTTGACTTTCCAATCCAGCAAGCATCAGCCTCTCCATGTTTTGACTCATGATGCGCCCGTCGGACACCGATTAGCATCAGTCTTGGCAAAAGATCAGGGCCAGTCACCATGGCAAGTCGGAGGAACTGCGAACGTCCGTGAGCTTCGAACTGACCGGACATTTTGTCGGGACGTTCGTGCAGCGTAAAAGGGACACGGCAGCTCCTGGAGCTTGCCATCATGATCCACCTCATGCTGAGTACAGTGCTGGGTTGTGACAGCTGCACGCTAAGCTGTGGAAGGTGCCAAATGCATCTTTGGCCCCAGCTTCTTCTGCCAAAAAAAATTCAGGAACTCTCAGGAAGCCGGAAGCAATGCTTCAGGCATCAAGGATAGCATGATCAGCGGGAATAGCATTTTTGCCTTCCGTGATCATACGTAAAAAGGCAAAGAAACAACTCGAATTCCCTGGGCACTCCGGCCACTTCTCCGGGCACTCCACACATCAGCGTCATGTACATACTATGTTCTATAGAGGCTAGAAATCAAAACAGGCGGAAGTCAGCGGCCTGCCCATATTCCGCATGCAGACTAAAGACAAAGGATGACAAATGAAGCAAGACGGCACGACTGATGATTCCATGCTTAGTAAAAGACCCTCGAGGGGATCTAAGCTCCGGAGATCTAGATACCGGATAGGCTCTGAAGAAATTAAAGAAATTATGTGGAATAGCAGGCATCAACATTCTTCAACAGCCCCCGTCCACTGCAGTATTCCCGCATTGCGGAGTTGTGGCCATGGTTTCCAAACATGTGGGCTTTGAACAAGCTTGCCTTTATCATGAATTTCCCAGACTGTCAGCTTCAGGCACACAACTCCGGCGTCAAAACGCTCCAACGCAAAAGCGCAATGTCTATCGGCCTCGAACTGACCGGACAAGGGTCGGGACGTTCGTGCAGCCCAACAGAAGCGCTTTGCCAGGAGAACAACTTGGGTTGCAACAATCGACCACCAAAAACATGTGCATCTCAACGGGACAGCTAGAAAGGCTTGCACGCGGGAATGCTGACTTCTGAAAACGCAACCCGATTGAATCTGAACTCCGAGCATCTCAGCAAAAACTCACTCTTTGACCTGAGTTCTACACGGTCACACAAGGTCAGACAGCTGCCATCTGAAACACGGAGCTTCTTTGGGCCTCCCGTCAACCAGGATGACTATGAAGACGTGCAGGCAAACAACATCAGAATCAAAGTCCACGGTGAATTGGAAGTAGGGACATAGGATATGTACTGTATTTGTGCGGGTGCAGAAGGTTGAGGACATGGTGGGCCGCACGGCACCATCCAGAAGGTCGCTTCTGGCCCCATAAGCCCCCTAAGCCCTCTATCAGGATCAAAGCCTGCATAAATCGGCCAAGCCTCTTCAGTCCAGCGGGGTTTCTTGATCTTCTGGGAGGCGCTCCAGTGGCAAACCAGTCGACTGTTTCGTGCGCTGAGCACGCCTGTGAGGCTGCTGGCCCTGGCCCTTTGTGAGAATGCCTTTGAGCTTGTGAAAGGACTCGATTGGCAAATCTGGATCCAATTCCAATCGGTAGCACTCCACCTCGTCATTGAAGTGTCGTACATGTGTTAACTCTTGCGGCCTCGAGCCAGAAATCAGCACTCGATGTCCTTCGCTCAGCTTATCCGCCATGACTGGCTGAATCTGCCTTCCTCTCTCGGCCATGACCTGGCTTCCCGCAAACACTTCAACTCAATGTGCCGTTCTTTTGCCCATGGCAAAAATGCCAAAAAGCGCTCAAACCCAGCTTGACTTGAAGCATGGGTCATTGCAAACGAAGCTAGGTGGAGCATGAGCGAACTTCCAAACTGATGGAAGCTGGATGGATAACGGCAGAGAGCTGACAGTGATGCGCACAAAACCGATTATCTTACAGTAGATGTAATTCACCTGGTATGACACCCAGACAACATGGCACACATGAGTCACCAGCCTGGCCTTGTGGTTGGATGTGACAACCAGCTCTGCATACTCTGTCTTCATGTGGACCAGATTGCGGTTTTCCCTCGGGAGGCGTTCGGCTTTTTTGATCTGCAGAACCTGTCCATTGGCTGCGCACACCTGATCCCCTGCTCTGATTGCTTCAACTGGTTGGAGCACCCCACTGGGTGTCAAGAAGTAGGTCTCGTTGATCCAGCAATCTTCTCGAGACATGACTGAAGAATATGAAGCCGAATTCAACGTTAGGTACTGGTGTTCTTGCCGATCGATCTCATTTTCTTGTGGCACCTCTGGGCACGAAGCCGCAGGGGAACCAGGGCAGAGGGCACGATCAACAAGGCGGATTGTCCGGCCCCCAACACTCGAACTTTGTGACTTGATAAATTTTCGAACCACGCACGAGTTTGGGGAGCCCACAAGGTTCAGGCCCGGCGTCAGTGGCCAAAGTCTTACACAACATCTCTCAACTCCTGACAGCTTGAGGGCAGCAAGGTGCCGATTATTCAAAGACCTGTAGTGACCATGCCACCATACCACATCAAGCCGCATTTCCAGGGCATCCCATTCAACGTGACCACTTTGCACCAAGGTGGCTACATCTGTGATCAATAGGCCCTTGTGCTTGCCGTGCGCGATGTGTGCACCTGAGACAATCTCTAGCATTGCTGCATATTGCTGCTGTGTGGGAGCAAATGCTGTGGCGGGCAATCTCCTAGGACCGGGCCAAGCGTCTTGCAGAGTCCTGCGTGAAAAAAAAAAGGTCAACAGGAACTTCTTGGGCTTGGCGGGGTGGGTGAAGCTGCTTTGCAAGAAGAGAGACCTTAGATCATAGAATGATAGATCCTAACCACTCAGGTGTGCCCCACGCATCAAGTTCGGACACTTATTTAAGGACGGCGTTAGGATGTTGAAGGTTCAAGCAGAACTGAATGAACCTCAAATCTATGGCGGTGCGTTGTGGTGTCCCTGGAAAATTTAGAGGCTGCATGCAGAGCCCCAATCTCCCAGTCGTTGCGAAAGTCAACTTTTAAATGAATCTTTCGCGTCCAGTGCCATTACAAATGTAGTTGTCTTTCCCATAGAACTCGGTGACTTTCCAGTGGTGTCAAAATCCCTCACTAGTTAAAGGGGGGGGACCTTCCCAATTGCAATGTTGCAGGTGCCAACGTTCCCCCCCCACTGTTTTCTGCTTACATGATGTTGTAGATGTACACTGACATGGAAGAACTTGCAACATGACGCAAACATGTCCATCTTGGGGTAGCTATGATAGACGTTGAACCATGAAAAGTTGCAGCTCTATGTTGGCTAGATGTAGGGACCCCGTAGGCACGTTCAACCGCCAAAAATTGCAGCACGTTTTTTTGCATGGACCGGCAA